ATGATTACATTGTCAGGTCCGCGCCAAGTGGACTCATCCGACACTGATAACGACTTTGATCACACTTTACGAGACTTTGCGGGATCAAGGGATTGGACAGGACCAGGGGGCTACGAGAGCATACTTTTCCCGAGGTAATAAATTTTGGATGATTTGAGAGTATCTGTGTTTTTATCTTGGAGTGACTAATTTTCTAGTTTTTTTGTTTTTTTTTGGTTTGATTTTTTTTTTTTTTTTGGCTTCGAGGTGGCAGATGTTTGAGGGTTCTGGTAAATGAGTGATGATTTGTGTTTTTACTGTATGTGTATAAACACACACTCACACACACACATACCCACACACACACACACACACACACACACACATACACACACATATACATATATACACTCTTCTTCTCATATCTCATACATACACATACTCACACACACACACTCTCTTTCCTCCTCCACCTCCTCCTCCACCTCTTGTTTCTCCTCTCCCCCCCCCCTTCGTCTCCATCTCCATCTCCATTTCTTCCTACACCCCCCTCTTCTTCACCTCCTTCTCCTTCTCCTCTACCTCCTCCTTCACCACCACCTCTTCCTCCTCTTCCCCATCCTCAATCTCCACCATCACCTCCTACTCGTCCTCCTAAACCTCCACCTCCTCCTCTACATCCACCTTCACTTCCTCCTCTAACTCTTCCTCCACTTCAACCTCCTCCACCTCCTCCTCCACCATACCTTACTCCTCCACCTCTTCTCCCTCCTCTTCCACCCCTTCCTCCACTTCCTCCTCCTCCCCTACCTCCTTCTCCCCTACCTCCACCCCACCACCACCCCCTCCTCCACCACCACCTCCACCCCCACCTCCACCTTCATATCTCCTCCACCTCCACCTCCACCTCCTCCTTCACCCCCCCCCTCCTTCGAAGCTCGTGTGACTCAGTTCCAACGACGCGATAAGAGAGAGGAGATATCAAGACCTTTGACGTTTATGGCAAGATAACTTATCTTACTTCGGCAATATATGGTTCGTTTTAGGTTCGAAGCCTTTATATATAAGGCGAGTTTGCTGTGTTGAAAAGGCTACTGGAGAGATATCTTTCCCCGTGGATTAAAGGGGAGTTTTTTTATATATTTTTTAAGGTTTTCTGGGTCTCGTCGCCATGTTCGTGCGACATCTATCGGCGGAAGATGTAACTAGATTGCTCGAATGAACATCTGTGGTTGAAAAACGGATATGTGAAATTATATATATATATATATATATATATATATATATATATATATATATATATATATATATATATATATATATATAACATAACTACGAAAGAGAAAGAGAGGTAGAGAGAGAGAAAGAGAAAGAGAGAGTGAGAGAAAGAGAGAAAGAGAAAGAGAGAGTGAGAGAGAGAGAGAGAGAGAGAGAGAGAGAGAGAGAGAGAGAGAGAGAGAGAGAGAGAGAGAGAGAGAGAGAGAGAGAGAGAGAGAGAGAAAGCATAACTACGAAAGGGAAAAAGAAAAAGAAAAAAAATATAACTACGAAGGAGAGAGAGAAAGAGAAAAAAACATAACTACGAAAGGAAAAAGGAAAAAGAGAAAAAGAGAAAAAAAGAAAGAGAGAAAGAGAGAAAGAGAGAAAGAGAGAAAGAGAGAGAGAAAAAAACTTCGAAAGAGAGAAACAGAGAGCGGAGGTTGCAGACATGAAGGGCAACACACCTCAGTCAATGGACGAGTCACATCAAGTTTTAATAAGACGTCGATACCCCTCTCCCCCCCACCCCCCTTACCCCCATATCCCTCTCCCCCCTTTACCTCCCTCCCTCTCTCCCTCTTAACCCCCCCTCCCCCCCTTCCCCTTCAAGTTCCTCTGCAGCTGCAATAATCTTCAGAAACTTGTGCCTGTATTCTCGTTTCGAAGCTCGACTATCTATTTCTTTTATTTTATTTTTTTTGTTTCTTCATTTTTTTTTAAACATTTTATTATTATTATTATTATTTTTGCTTTAATTCTTATTCTGACTGTTTGTTTCTTTGTATAAATAAAGGATTTCTGAAGAAGTGTGGACGTCTGATATAACAGATTCTGCGTACTGGGAATGGGTGCGTTTCTTGAGAAATTTTCTTGAGAAATATTCAACAGCATTTTGCAGCTGGAATTGCCAAACTCTAGATTCATGTACATACATACATACATATCTATACATAAACATACACACACATACACACACACACACACACACACACACACACACACACACACACACACATACACACACACACACACACACACACACACACACACACACACACACACATATATATATATTATCATTCTTATTGTGTTTGACATATATGTTAACATATATATAAGATACATAATCATACCCACATACACAAACATGAGCCAAAAAAACACAAAACAAACGCAGAAAGAAAGAAATAGAAAGACCAAACAACAAACAAACAGACAAACAGACAAACAAACAGACAAACAGACAAACAGACAAACAGACAAACACAGCCCGAACCCAAGAAGCCCAGCAAGTGAAGGTGTCATAGTTAAAAAGACTGAAGCTCCGCCCCTGTCTATTGTTCGCCAGTGACAACACGAGGGATGCCACTGACACTTATTAGTACATAGGGGCGATTTCCTCCTACTGTTAGCATGAAAGATTAACTCTATGGTAGGGGAGATCGAAGGATATACGTACACTGAAATGCACGAGATGCATACATATACACAAATGCATATACATACATACATACAGACGTACACACGCACCTACAACCCGTCTCCCTACACGCACACACACACACACACACCCAAACACACACACACATCGCCCCCCCCCCCCTCCACACACACACACACAACACCCCCTTCCGAACCACACACACACACACACGTACGCACACACACGCACAATACACGTGCGCGCGCTGGGGGTGTGGTGGGGGGTTGCATAGACGTAAATAACCAAACTTATGGTGACGTAAAATCTCTCGTACACCGCAGGGAAACTTGTCGGTGAAATAAGCTTCTAAAAAAAAGGATTGGAGAACAAGTCTTTGTTTGGCTGTTTCTCTCTCCCTCTCTCTCTCCCTCCCTCTCTCTCTTTCTTTCTTTCTTTCTTTCTTTCTTTCTTTCTTTCGCTCTTTCGTTTTCTTTTTTTTTTGCCTATCTCTTTCTCTTTCGTCCTTTCTTCCTTTCTGTCTGTTTCTGTCTGTCTCTTTCAGTCTGTCTGTCTGCCTGCCTCTCTGTCTGTTTGTCTGTCTGTCTATCTCTCTCTGCCTGTCTGTCTGTCTCTCTCTCTCTCTCTCTCTCTCTCTCTCTCTCTCTCTCTCTCTCTCTCTCTCTTTCACTTCGTCTCTCTCCATCTCTCCCTCCCTCTTCTTCTTCTCCCTCTTCACACACACACACAAACACACACACACGCGCTTTTTAGATAGGTAGAGAGAGAGAAAAGTCAATACGAAGGGAAATGAATATTTAGTTAGAAGAGAGAGAAATTCGAAAGACACAGATAAGGGAAGCGAATAAAGGAAACGGTAAGTGGAAAATCAATTTCAATCCATCTTGGGTCCTGACGCCCAACAACACGAGTCATCGTGGGCGGTGGGTGGGCGGAGGAGGGGGGGAGGGGTGGAGGGAAGGTAGAGGGGAGGGAAGGGCGTGGAGGGTAAGGGGCGGAGAGGGGATGGGAGGGAGGGAAGTAGGTGGAGGGGAGGGAGAGAGGTGGAAGGGAGGGAGGGAGGTGGAGGGGAGGGAGGGAAGGGGGTGGAGGGAAGGGCGTGGAGGGAAAGGGGCGGGGAGGGGATGGGAGGGAGAGAGGGAGGTGGAGGGGAGGGAGGGAAGGGGAGGGGAGGGAGGGAGGGGGAGGGGAGGGAGGAGATAGAATGGAGGGAGGGGTTGGATGGAGGAGGGAGGGAGGGAGGTAGAGGGGAGGGAAGGAAGTAAAAAGAAAAAGGGGAAGGAAAGAGGAGGGAAGAAATGGAAGGTTGGGAGAAGGTGGAGGGGAGAGAGGGAGGAAGGGAATAGACGAAAAAGGAGAGTAACGAACGCGGAGCAAAAGAAGGAAGAAGAGAAGGAGGAGAAGGAGGAGAAAGGGGGAGTGGGGGGGAAGGAGGAGGAGGAGATGCTAAACACGTTAAAATCACCTTCTGTTTTGTATTGTGACGTCATACCCACGGATCGTATTTTCCTCTCACTAACCCCCCCTACTCCTCCTCCCTCCCCCCATTCCCCCCCACTTTTCCTCCTTACACATTACCCCCCCCCACCCCCCCCACCACCCCCCAACACTTCATACCTCCCGTGCGTAAGTAGGGGGGGGGGAGGCGAGTGAAGAGAGGGCATGGGAGGGGGATGGGGGGGGAGGGGAGTGAAGAGGGGGCATGGGAGGGGGGGTGGGGGGTGAGGGCAAGAGAGAGGGGTTAAATATCTGTAGTATTGCTGGAGTATCAACTTACAAACACAGTAGTACACCCCATGACCCTGCCAGTCAGAGGGGTTGTCGGGGGGGGGGGGGAGAAGAGAGAGGGGGAGGGGTTGAAGGGAGAAGGGGAGAGGGGGGTTGGGGAAGAGAGAGGGGGAGAGGTTGAAGGGAGAGGGAGAGGGGAGAGGGGAGAGGGGAGAGGGAGAGGAGGAGAGGAGATGGGGAGAGGGGGAGAGGGAGAGAGGAGAGGGGGGGGTTAGGGGAGGGGAGAGGGTGATCGGGGGAGGGAAAAAAGCAGAGGAGAGGGAAAGGGGAAGCAAAAATAGGGGGAGTGGGAGGCGGAGGAAAGGAGGAAGAGGAGGAGAAGGAGGAGAAAAGAGGCAAATAACGACAAAGCAGAAAAGAGTGAATCAAATGGTGGATGGATAAGAAAAAGAGAAAAGGAGAGAAACGCAAGGAAAAGAGAGGAGGAAAGAAGGAAAGGAAAGCAGAAGAGGAGCAGGGAGGCAAATAGAAAACGAAAGAGGGAGGAAAACAGAAGGGGAAGAAAGGCAAACAAGCAAAGAAACGAGAGAAG